TTTTAGTAGAGACGGGGTTTCACCTGTGTAGCCAGGATGGTCTCGATCTCCTGACCTCGTGATCCTCCCGCTTTGGCCTTCCAAAGTGCCTGGATTACAACGTGAGCCACCGCGCCTGGCCTCACGATTTTGGTTTCTTAATCTGCATTTTTGCTCATGGGCCGAGGAGACATCAGTGTCCCCAAGCGCTGCCCGTGTGTCCCCAGGGCCCTCAGCGATGGCAAGGTGAGCCCAGGCCTCCGTGCACCAGGGTGGCTGCCTGGTGAGCCGATCCCATGGGGCCAGGCCTCCTCAGACCACTATGCTCCTCTGGGGCTCAAAGCGGAGATGTTGGGTGAAGTCTCAGAGGTGCTGTGGGTCTGCAGCCTGGGTAGTGAGGCGTCTTGGAGTCAGAGCGGCCTGTGCCCAGCGCGTGCCCATGGATGTGCCCCAGAGGAGGTTTGCACGCTGTGGTGTGGGGTCTGCAGACCGTCTGCCTGGCCTGAGGTGGGAGGGTCGAAGCTCTTGGGTCTCTGCGAACGAGAGTCGGATGTGTGAAGACGTATGTTTGCGCTCACTGCCACTCACTGTCACGCCTGGGGTGAGGCACACACGGGCTCTTCCTGTCTCTTGCCTTTGCAGAGACTCAAGGTCCATCCCAAAGATGCCAGGCGTGCTGTGCATTTGAGGTCTGGAGTCCCTTGTCATTCTAGAATTTTCTGTTTCCTCTTGGTGTCCCCTCTCCACCCTCCCTTCTGGCCCTGACGCCCTTGGGGCCCTGTTGCCTGTGGTCACAGGGCTTCCCTGGGTGGCTGTCCGCCCAAAGTGGGATGACGGTGGTGACTGCGGGCACCTGACTCCCTCCCCTTCCTTCTGCCGTTCTTCCCAGGAGACGTTCTTTTCCAGATGGCTGAAGTCCACAGGCAGATCCAGAATCAGCTGGAAGAAATGGTGAGTCCCACCCCCAGCGTGGCCCTGCGAGGAGGGGCAGGTGCAGTGGGAGAGCTGGTGCCGGAACAGTCCGAGCTGTCCAGCCACACTCAGAGGCAGGGAGGGACCCTGGCTCAGGACACAAGTCATACTCCAAGGAGGACGTCGGAGAAAAGGGCACGGGCGAGACCGGGGCCGCATGCTTCGCTGCCACCACAGCCGGCCACGACACGCTGGGCTCCAGGGAGAGTCCTGGTCGCAGCCCCAGCCAGACCCCACTCCTGCGGCTCACAGGCAGCAAGGCAGACTTCCCCGGCCTCTCCGACTATAGGCAGAGGCAGACCCCAGACAACCAGAGCACATTGCTGGCGGCTGGTTTGTGGCATCCTGTCTAAAGCCAGGGGTCTGACCCTGGTTTCAGTTCGGGTTCATGGACCCTGCGACCTCTCGGCCCGTGTCGCAGTGATCCCCAGCATGGGACAGCAGGGGAAGCAGGGGACAGCTGTTTCTGTTGCCCTTGTGAGAAATGGAGCCCTTGTGGCTGTCGGAGGCGAGATTATCCCACGTTCCAGACTCCTGTTCAGCACTTGCTCCTGCAGCCCCCTGGCTCCATAGGGCGCACCTGGCCATGCAGAGCCACGGCCCGTCAGTCAGGGGGAGGGGCTCCCGGAGACACCCGGAGTCTTGTGACCGTCCGCCCTAGCCCTGCCCCGCCTCCTGTTCTGGGTCCATGTGTTGGAGCTGACGGCTGATGTTTTCTCTCCATGTCCAGCTGAAGTCTTTTCACAACGAGCTGCTCACGCAGCTGGAGCAGAAGGTGGAGCTGGACTCCAGGTACCTGAGTGTAAGTGCACCCTGGCCGTGCCTGCTGGGGCCCTGTGCCTGGGCTCCAGCTCTCCTGAATGCCTGTCACTCCTTCCCTCGGCCTGAAGGCTTCCCACTTCCCCTGAGCTCCCTGTCCGCGTGGGCCCCAGCTCTGACTTCATTGTCCATTTGGGACCGAGTGCCCCTGGTGTGCCCCAAATGCAACCTGTGGGTGAACCCATTGCCTCTGATGCCCCATATGCCCAGTTCATGCCTCGGCTTTGACCGCTTGCGGTGAAGCTGGTGCCTGACTCTGCTGCCCGGGAATGCAGGAGCTCCTTCTCTGGCCTCTGCAGTTCCCTGGGCTCTCAGCCCGTCCTGCCCCACTGCCACTCCTGTCGGCTGGCAAGAAGGCTTGGGCCTGAGGCGCTGCTCGAGGGTTTGAGAGTCATCCCTGGCTCTCCGTGGTGGGCGGGAAGGGTGGGCCTTGGCCAGTTTTTCAAAGTCTGATTTTCATCTTCAAGGACCAGAGAGCTGCCATGGGGTGGGGTGGGGTGGGGTCGGGCTGAGGGCTCAGTTGCGCTCTCCACAGCTCTGATTTGCCGCTGAGCATGCGCAGCCAGAGAGCAGGCCAGGAAGGGAGCGTCAGGGCTGCCAAGGGGACCCTGCTGCGTTGGGCTCATGGGCCTTGGTTTTGTGGCCGGGGGGACCCTGCTGCACTGGGCTCATGGGCCTTGGTTTTGTGTTTTATTGTTTGACTCTCAGGCTGCGCTGAAGAAATACCAGACTGAGCAAAGGAGCAAAGGTGACGCCCTGGATAAGTGTCAGGCTGAGCTGAAAAAGCTTCGGAAGAAGAGCCAGGGCAGCAAGAATCCTCAGAAGTACTCGGACAAGGAGCTGCAGGTAGGCCTGCCACCCCCGCTGTGGTGCCTCTCGCTTCACCTTGGGACTGCTCACCCCTCAGCCCTCCTCGTCCACGGGGAGTGGACAGCAGCCCCCCGGGTGGGATCAGACAGAGGCAGGCTGTGTGCCCCTGGTAGACCTCAGGAGCCGTGGGCCCGATGCCCCCAGGCCAGCGGGATGGTCAGCTCCACCTGTGGGGCTCTGTCCTGCTCTCTGCAGCCTTCCAGGGTCGCTGGAAGGTTCTTGGACAAAGGAGCAGAAACCCAAATGGAGTCCTCCCACCTCTGTTCCCCTGATCCCTGCCCAGGAGTCAGGTCCCAGTCTGTTCCTCTAAGGAGTCAGGTCCCAGTCTGTTCCTCTGAGGAGTCGGGTCCCAGTCTGTTCCCCTAAGGAGTCGGGTCCCAGTCTGTTCCTCTAAGCGGCTGTGGCCGCCGCCCACAGGGCTGGCTGCTCAAGGGCAGGTGGTACTTCAGGTTCCTCGAGGGAGCGGCCTCGGTGTTGTTTCTCTCACCGTCCCGCCAGTGTCACCGGGGTGCTGCATGCTGAGTGGGCTAGGACTTAAGATGGCCTCGCCGATGACAGGCACGGCCTGATGTGTGTACACCGGAACCTGGATGGTGCCTGGCACAGGCCAGACCCAGAAACCCCTCGCCCACTTGCTGGGGTCATCGTGATACAGATGAGAAGGACACACAAAACAAGATGCCCAGTCGTTTGTAAAAGAAACAACAGGAAAACCCCTGGCCAGTCACCCAGGTAGAAGCTTCTGGGCTGCACCCTGGGGCGGGCAAGGTGTGGCTGTGGGTGAAGCCCGGGCCTCCAGGCCGCTCCCTTCCTGCTGGCAGTCAGGTTTTCAAGCCTTGGCAAGCCCCGCACACACCTGCCCGTGTGCGTGTGTCTGCGTGTGTGTGTGTGCCACCATCCCCTTGATGCCAGATGTGGGTGTTCATGAATGGCTGTGGCCTCACCCTGGGACTGGAGGCCGGTGCCTACTCAGAGCCTGTGCCCCGCTCACTCCTTGACTGCAGGGAAGCCAGGCAGGTCTGCCCATACCCTGCAGGCCAAGCTGGAAGATTTCCAGTGTGGGGTCGCCTGGTGGAGCAGGATTGGCCACAAAGGAGAGGACGGGACTGGGCCAGGGGCAGATGAGAAGAATAAGTGAGTCTGTGGAAACAGCCGTATGGGGGTCCCTCGGGTGCCCACTGCTGTCTGCAGCCTCCCACTCCGGCACGCTTGGTGCACAGTTGAAGGGACGCGACTCAGGCCGTTCTCTAGGCGCCCTCCCCTCTCCAGCCACCTCTTCCTGTGTCCCCAGCCTTTGTTTCGATCCTGTTTTTCACTCCAGGTAAGCTGTGATGGGTCTTGTGATCCTTTCTGTTTTACACTCTGGGCAGGCTGCAGTGTTGGGTCTCTCCATGATGGGCCCATCGTGGAGGCCTTAGTATTCCTGCCTGAGGCTGCCGCAGCGAGCCTTCCTCCAGCTGTTTCTGCGCACAGATCCCGAGCAGTGGGAATAGGGAGTTGAGGAGGAGAAATAGGTATTTGTTGGTAGACCCTATGTCTATTTTTCTTTTTCCTGCCACCTTGGAGCATTTTGCAACTTTGCTTTCTGAAGACTTAAGCAGCGGACGGCGCCCCCGCGGCCTGGAGGGCCGTAGCTTCCTCCCGGCAGGCCAGGGCAGTGCAGGTGTGAGCCACCCCTGAGCACCCAGGCTGGGTGTGAGAGCGTGTCTTAGAGGGAACTTTCCTGGGAACGTCCCCGGCTTGGGGTTCTGGAGATGGGGATAGTGAGGCCAGCCCACTGAGGGCTCAGCTGCCTGCTAGGGTGCAGGGACCTGAGCTCTCCTCTCCCCTTGAGGCACTGTGGGTTTTTGCTAACAGCCTTATTAAGATATAATTCACGTCACCAGCAGTTCACCATTTCGCGGGCACAGCCCAGTGGTTGAGTGTTTGCAGCTGTGCGTCCATCACTCAGTCCATTTTAGAGCACTTTCCAGTCAGCAGTCACCCCTGTGCCCCTGCCTCCACCAGTCAGCAGCCTGCCATCAGCCTCCGTAGACTCGCCTGTTCTGGAATCCCACAGCATCCGACCTTTGGTGCCTGGTGGCTCACGTGGCGCGGAGGGTTCTCAAGGCTGATCGTGCAGTAGCCTGCGCCAGTCTCCTCTCCTCTTACTGGGGGCCAGCGTTTCTTCCTTTTCGTGGCTCAATTGTGTTCCATCGTATGGGTACTGGAGGCTCCGCCCTGCTCAGGATGAGGGCCCTCTCCCTGGCACAGCCGGTATTGTCCTGTGGCTGGGCTCACTGGCAGCCGGAGATCATGGCAGGGTAGCATAGGGCTGGGCAGAGGCAGAGGCTAGGGGCTCTTGGAGCCACCCCGCTCCCTCCTGCAGTCTGGAGCCAGAGGCCTGAGGCCCCCACGCAGTCATCCTGGCCCTGCCTCACCAGCTCCCTGGTTTCCAGGTGCCCTGCCTCCCTCTGCCAGGTCTCTCCCTGACCACACACCCGGCCTCCGCCTGCCCTCCACGCTGCTCTGCCGTGGGCCCCGGGTGGTGGGATTTACTCTCGAGGCTGTGTGTGCACAGCCAGCTCCTCAGACCATCCCACATGGGGGGTTTGGACGACCTTCTTGCTGATGGTCGGTCCGTTTGTTTGCTATGTGTCCTGGCACTTGGGGTCTGTTAGGGACCATGGTGGTGCCTCAGGGGCCCTGGAGGCAGGTCCCATCTGTTCGTCCCACGGGGGCTGCGAGCCACCTCCAGTGCCTCAGCGGACCCTTCGTTGTCTGGCCCGAGGGTCCCCTGATTTGCAGCCACAGGGGGCTGGACCTTGCGGTGACTGAAGGGGCCTTGGCCCTGCTTCAGTGCTGTGGTCCACGGTCTGGGCAAGGGGCTGCCAGTGGGTGCCCCAGGTGCTGTGAAACATTTGATAACAGAACTAAGGTGGCAGGTGGTGGGGCTCACCCTGGGGCCCCTTGAGTGCCCTTCCATGGTAGGTCAGGTGACCCAGTTTTGGGAGTAAGCCATGGTGCCTGTTCCTCAGGTGGGGGACACCCGATGGCTGCTACAGTCGTCACGAAGCCCCCCCTCATCCGCAGGAGGGCAGGGGAGGGGGAGGGGGTCGTGGCCCTCCAGGCTGTCTGTCCTGATGGGCCAGAACCAGGAGCCCGGCAGGGTTCTGAATGAGGGCAGCGTTCCTGTCTGTGGCTGTGAGTTGCCAAGGCAAATGGTCCCCGCAGCACCTGTGAGTGGGCCTGGGCAAGGGCCATGTGGGCGAGGAGGGCAGGCAGGGCTCCGAAGCGTGTGGTGGGTGGAGGCTGCAGTGGGTGTGAGGTAAGGTGGCCCAGCAGCTCCCCTGGAAAGGCTTCTGCCACCCGGTGCAGAGACGCTTGGTGAGCCTCATCTTCCTGGCCTCCCAGGGCGCCTCCTGGGAGATGTACGAAGCTGGCCTTTCTTCCCAGGTCCCAGGGGCCCTGCTGTGGCTCCCCAGCCCTGGCTGAGTGACCTCCTTTCTCCAGAACTTGCAGCTGCTCTTCTCCACTCACCAGAGGACCTGTAGGTGGCCCCAGGCTGGCCTGTCCCCACCCGGGCACAGCCTCAAGGCCCTGGTGTCAGGCTTAGGCTTGGATCCAGCTCTGTCCCTTAACAGGTCACATGGCCACAGCAAGCACCAAAGCTTCTCTGAGCCTCAGTTTCCCTGTTTGTGAGGGGGAATGTCCTGCCTTTCTCTGTCTTCTGAGCACTGACAGGAAGGGCTGTGGACCTAGGACAAGCTGGTGTCCACCTTCTCACGGTGCCTGCGTAGGGAGCTCTCCTGGACCGACCTCTGCCTCTGTTCCTACCCATCCACCTGATCTTCCTCTGTTAATGGGAGACGGGGCTGCAACTCTTAACCACACAGGTGTTTTATTTTTGTGATTTTTCCTCAGTCACCGAGTTCCTTTGGGAAGGGCTAGGTCTCATATTTCTTCTGCATCCCACTTGGTGCCACGCACAAACGGGTCATGCAGCAGATAGCTAGTAAGTGCTAAGTGGTTTCAAAACAACGTTTTGGGGTGGGAAGCAGAGGGAGCCACGGCCCAGTGTGCTTTCTGCTCCCTAGTGGCCTGGAAGCCCAGGAGGCCAGGCTGGGAGCCGTCAGCATGCCCGGCCCCACATCTGAGTTTGAGGGGGTGGGGCACTTGGTGTGTGACTGCGCACACCCCCCACTGAGCTGCAGGGAGGCTGCTGCTACCATCCTGGGGTGAGTCCTGGGGTGAGTCCTGGGGTGAGTGCCGGGCTGCCTGGCTGGGATGTGCTGCCGGCCCCACTTTAGGGTGTAGCTGCTGGGGGCCCAGCCGTTGCACGTCCTCTCCACTTCTGAAGAGCTGGGGAGCTGGGCTGGCTGGCCCCACCCACTTGTGCAGCCCTGCCCCTCCAGTGCCCTCCACCCTGCCCTCACTTGTGTGGAACCACCACTTGGAGCAGGAGGCCCTGCCCCTCCAGTGAGCCCTACCCCCCTTATGTGGCCCCACCCCCAAACACAGGCCTCCTAGCTGGGCCTCACTCCTGGCCTGCCTGTCAAGAGCTACTGTCCTGGGGCCTAGAATGTCAGCAAGGTCCTGGTGGTCACAGGGAAAGGGCTTGTTGGAAGCACTCTTGGGGGAGAAGCAGAGGCCTCTTCACTACTGGCCTCTCCATTCCTAAAGCGGTTGGTTGCTTTCCAGCTGTTCTGCAGACCAGCCCAGTAGCTGCACCCCACGCTGGGGGCAGCCCAGGGGTGTCTACCCAGAGAGTACGGCTCATGGTGCTGCCCTGGAGATCCCTGCCTTGGTCCCTGGGCCCGCCTGCACCCAGCTCTTCTAGCTGCCTCCAGTGTGTGCCCTGTGGGGTCACTGGCAACCGTAGCAGTTGTCCCCAGTCCTGAAGACCCTGGGAGAGGCAGATGTGCCCACGCCACTGGGGTGCGGGGCAGGAGTCTGGCCCATTCGGGCCCCTGGGGCTGCCTTCTTGAGCAGACGGG